AACCCAATACAAATTTTACTGAACCACCAATTTATGCTGAACCCAACATAAATTTTACTACCCGTACCACAGTCTGTGTATAGTTGTATGTGGGCGCCAATGGGCGCTCACGGGCAGAACCACCAATTTCTGACGAGTCCAATAAATTTTACAAGCTGTACCACGGTCTGTGCATAGTCGTATGTGGGCGCCTATTGGCGCTGGAGGTGTCGGGGGCGACAAGAGACGCCCACACTCAGAAGTATCAATCAACCCTTGCTTGTCGTCACTGTTATCGTGACGACAGAACAATAATCCTTGATATCATGACAATGGAACAAGGAAGTGACCCGGAACTTGTAAGTAAACGTCGCATTCCATTTAAGGGGTGGAGGGGAGCTGGGAGTACCCTTCCAGACACATATCGTTATCCACGTTGGTGGTATCAAGATATAAAACAGACGTGTGCCAAGGCTCTCCTGTTTGGCTACAATGAGTGGTCAGACAGTAGTTGTAGTAGTAATAGCAGTTCAAACTCAAACAAAGATGGGGATAAGGAGATCATAGAGACACTTGTTATAAAGCCCCCAGCTGCAAAGACTTTTGTACCAGTTGTTGTTGATGGATATTCTAATAGGAGGGCATGGTATGGTGACAAACCAGAGGGGGTTCTAGTTTGCCCAGTGCCAGATGGTGAGGATATACAAGTGAGACTGGTGGCCAGAAGTTGGACATATGGGGTATTTTCATTTGACAGACATTCTARCCCTAGCCATGCACCAAATGCTGGTCTTGGTGGTTACRCTGACAGACTGGGAGAAAGGCAGACTGCAAGGAATGTACCTGGATCAATTGTAAATGAAGAAATAAGTCTTCAGTGTAGGGGTATCCTGAGTGCTGGTGTTCTAGTRGATTGTGATACCTTGGTACCAATAGTACAATTTAACTGGTGTGTGTAGGCGGTGGTGTGTATGTTTCTTTTGATGGTCATGTAGTAGTAGTATCTTCATAGTATTAGGAGTTTGAGTAGTAGTACCTGCCTCCTCTCTCTGGTGGACAACAGTAYTAATTATAATAGTGGTAGGAATACTAGTACTTAAAGTATTGCTTGTCTGAACTACTTGCAATTAGTCCCCCCTCTCCTGCTGCTACTAGTACTTTTTCACTGGGGCTAGTAGTAGTAGTAGTAGTAGTAGTAGTAGTAGTAGTAGTAGTAGTAGTAGTAGTAGTAGTAGACTGCTACCTAGTGCTAGTGGTCTTGGTTCCCTGTCTTGCTCCCCTCTCGGTTCTCGGTCTCGGTCCCCTCTCGGTTCCCTGTCTCGGTCCCCTCCCCTCTCGGTTCTCGGTCTCGGTAAAGTCCAAGCAGGATTTTCCCAACCCCCCGGTTTCGGGACTCCGTCTCTCTCGGGGGGGTTGGGAGAATCCGCGAGGAAAAATTTTTGGAGATTACGCCGGAAACACACCGATTTGGCTCTTTCTGGCACTCAGCAACACTTGCTCAATAACCCCCAAAAAGGGTGTTTTAAGGGGCTGCAATGGCTATTTTGGGGTAAGGGGGTGTATCGGGGGTGTATCGGGGGGCGAGGTAGTGAATGGGGGAGAGGGGTGCATTTTGAGGGCAACACCTCATCCACTAAACTGAGCAGGGGTGACGCACGAAAAAAATAGCATTGGTGACATCTGCTGACATCTGTCATGAGGTGGCACGTCCTGTTGAAAATACAGAATTCGCCAACGAAAATACACCACCTAACATACAGTGCACTCAAAAATAATACAGCCCCTAACATACAGTGCACTCAAAAATAATACACCTCGCGACAACTCTCATAATATTCATTCCTAGTGAATCCAAACAACAACAACAACAACAACAACCAGGTCACTTGAAAGCTATCAAYTGGACGCAGGAGGTAGCTAGATTGTGAACCAAGGAAGAGTCAACATCAATTGCCAATCCAAATTTGTGAGAGGAAGACGAATCGCCAAGACGAATCGCCAAGAC